ACTACTACTACTACGACTACGACTACTACTACGACTTTGACTACGACTACGACTACGACTACTACTACTACTACTACTACTACTACTACGACTACTACTACTACTACTACTACTACTACTACTACTACTACGACTACTACTACTACTACTACTACTACTACTACTACTACTACTACTACTACTACTACTACTACTACTACTACTACTACTACTACTACTACTACTTCTAGTACCACCACTACCAAGAAGCCTCCGAGACGCCCCGAAGATAACCCCAAGACGGCCCAAGAGGCCTCCAAGACGCCCACGATGGCCTCCAAGACGGCCACAGTGGCGGGGTCCGTTTGGCGGCCTCGGGACACTTTGGCGCACCCCTCACACGCTTCGTGGCCGCATAGGGAGCTCCACCGAAGGCCACAGTGGCAGGGTCCGCATATCGGTATTCACAGCTGCACATGGTTGGGTCTTGCACCTCCTTATTTTCCACTTGCTATTACAGCTCATGGCAACTACAGATCCGATCCGTTAGTCGTTGTAATTGCATATCGTTGCTGTTGCCCCCGCTCAGTTCTCCTTGACACCCTCCTTCCTAACCCTCCGCTTCGGTTCCGTCTGGCCCGTCGGCTGTCCAGGCGCGCGCCCGAGGACGGCAAGATGGGGAACGATTAAAGAAATAGTTTCCCAGCCCGCGGCCGGTTTTTTCTAATCATCCTCCGGGGCGCCGCCGACGCAACACGACCCCCGGTAATCTATTATTAATCGTCATCCTACATTATGTATACCGTTTGTTCTTATTCGAGGGGTCGCAGCCGCGTCGACACACAACGAGCTTCCCGCACACCACCACTGGGCCTGCACCGCATCTTCAGCAGGGATGCGTTGGCGTGTTAGGTCCAACGCCGATCCAAGAAATCCGCGCGGACCTCCAGCTGTTTGTGTGTATGCTGTTTTTACATGCGACCACCGACCACAGCATTTTGTTTCTTCCAGTATTTCGCCGCCGGGTTCCTGTCCATGGCGTTCCTTTGCAAGCACATCGTCTTCGGCACCGCCTGATTCTGGGGCTTTGCCCCCTCCTGGCCTTGATGTGAGGCCCCTCCTTCTGTCCGCTTCGCGCGGCCCGCTTAGCTTCGACCGGAAGAGGTGCGCTCTCGACCCGCGAATCAAGAAAGTGCATGTTGTTTTTCACGCGCGATCCTCGCGCAGGCCGCGGAGGCCCCCCGCCAGCCCCTCGGGAACCTGCACCTCCAGGCGGTAGGCGAGCCAGCACAGCACGCGGCGCTCGTGCGGCCCGAAGCGGTCGAACCACAGGAAGGGCAGCCCCGCCTCCGGGGTCTGACCGAAGTTTAAGTCGGGCGTGTCCCCCTACAGGGGGATTTTGGACGATAAATGAAAAATACTGAAAAAATACACCGAAATTGTTTAAAACATACTTTAAAAAATAGTCCCCAGACTATGTTTGGACTATGTTTCGATTATTTTGGGGGTATTTTTTGTTTTTCGTCGAAAATCCCCCTGTATGGGGGACACGCCCGACATAAACCAAAGTGGCGGGGCAGCAAATTCACCCTGAAATCCTGGCGTCGCGATTCGTTCACAACGGGTGGCTTCGCTTCGTGTCAGGACACGGGGCCATCACAGGTCGATCCAGCTCGAAGAATGCAGCAGAAAGACGGGGTCTGGGACTCCATTCGTGATCATTCGCGAAATTGCAATTTTTGTTACAACGTCGGATCTCGGGGAGCGGAAGGCACGAATCCGCTGCTCGCAGCTGGCTTCCCCGGCGCCGGGGGGCGGCCGTGCATCGAGGAAAAGGCCTGGCGGCGGGGCCGAAAACAGCTGCACGCCGCAGGAAGCTCTTCGGCCATCGGTGACGCCTGCCGCCGACTGCGCAAAAAAAGCCAGGAAGCTTGGGAGGCACAGGGCCGCGTTCACATGTGGAGCATCTGGAGACCATACTGCGGAAGCCCTCCGTGCCTGGCCAGAGGGGCCGATCGCGCTGGCATAAGACATCTGGCCGCACGCGTATCCAGCCCTCGCCCAGCCTGACCATGTTTTTGTGTAGCCAGCTTCCCCAGAGGAAGAAGGGTCTCGGCACGAGCAGGAACGCTCGGAGGTCCGACCGTGTTTATGCTCATGCAGATGCCTCTCCTTCGACTCACAGCGTGGCTCCCCAGAGTCAGGGAGGCGTAAGACCCGGGTACAGGGGACTCGGAAATCCCCGACGAGGTCGTCAAAAAAATGACGAGGCCCAGCCTGCATTTTGACGAGGCCTCCCGCTGCAGACATCCCACGAAACTCCTCCTCGTCAAAATCCGAGGCGCGGTCGTCAAAAAACGATGGCGAACCCGAGTCCTGGCAAACCCGGGTCTTACGCTCCCCCGACAGAGGCCTGGACCCTTCCCCGGGACCAACTCCGCACCCCGCGCCGCTGTCCGCGGCCCCGGGGCCCAGCGAGTGCCCCGCGGGGCCGAGAGCTGTCAAAACACCTGTCGCTGTGGGTCTTTCACGGCCCGGGGGGGCCTGACGCACCGGCACTTCGCAACCGCTCTTCGCTCCTCCTCCTCCTCCTCCTCCTCCTCCTCCTCCTCCTCCTCCTCTCCTCCTCCTCCTCCTCCTCCTCCTCCTCCTCCTCCTCCTCCTCCTCCTCCTCCTCATCCTCATCCTCATCCTCATCCTCCTCCTCCTCCTCCCCTTTCGGCCACACCCTGGCAGCATGAGCCTAGCTTCTCCAGGGCCGTGGGCGTTTGTTCGGGGGGGCGCGGGCGCAGGCGGGGAAGACAGGGGTTTGGGGCACCTCTGCGGCCGCAGACCTGGCCGAGCCCCGCGCGCCCCCCTCAAAATTCCGGCCGCGGCATCTCCAGCTCGACTTCAGTCGGCCGATCTTTGGTCAGTGTCCACGTGCTTCCTCTGCGATTCCTGGCCCTCGCTTTCCTCTGGAGGGAGACAAGCGACATACACATAAACTGTTGGCGGCCCACGCAGATCCAAGAAATCCGCGCGGAGCTCCGAAAGTGCACGTTTGTGCAATTGTTGGTTCGTCGACTTTCCTTCCTCGCCCACCGAGCCTTGAGCTTCTCCAGGGCCTCGGCCACCGCCGCGCGCGCCGCCGCCCCCCAGGCCGGCGTGGCCTCGCAGGCGGCGGCCTCGCAGGCGAGGCCCCGCAGGGCGTCGAGCTCGCGGCGGTCCTCGGGGTCCACGAGGCCCAGCTGGCGGAGGGCCGCGCGGGTGAAGTGGGGGCCGAGGAAGTCCACCTCCCACCCCGGGGGGGCGGCGACGGTCCGCCTTCCCACCCCCTCGGGTCACCAAAAACACACGACGGAAGGTTAGGGGGGTCATTGGTTCAACACTTCGGGGTGCTCGCCAGGCCTCGGGGCAGTCGAAGAAACTCGGGGTGAGAAGCAGGTCCCCGGGAAAGGGTCTAGACCTCTGGAGGTCCACGTTATGACATACAACAAGACGTCGGGGATCCAGGATGTCCTCCTCCTACTCCTCCTCCTCCTCCTCCTCCCCCCTCCCCCTCTGCGGACTCGGCGGGGGCGGGGGCTCGTCGAGCTGAAATCGGCGATACGTCGCCGACAGGTCCGCAAGAGCGGAGCCGCACGCTCCTGGGCGGTGGGCTAATTATCGGGCCCCCTTCGGCGACCTATATGGGCGATGGGGGCCCTTGCGCCGATCACCCTCGAACGTCGCCCCCCAACCTTCGGCCCACATGCCAGGAGTGCTTAGGGGGCAAGCAAACCTACCTCGTTTTTGACCACCCTCGCTTCCAAGAGATACCAAGCGATGCCAAACTGCGGCCTGTACTGGTCAGGCCGCTTGACGAGGAGGCGCGTGGTATGACTTGGTTTTGCCTGGAAGCAAAAGCGGGGTAGGTAATTAGGAGCAGGAGGAGGAGGAGGAGGAGGAGGAGGAGGAGGAGGAGGAGGAGGAGGAGGAGGAGGGAGGGGGGAGGAGGAGGAGGAGGAGAGGAGGAGGAGGAGGAGGAGGAGGAGGAGGGAGGAGGAGGAGGAGGGGAGGAGGAGGAGGAGGAGGAGGGGTCCGTAGCCATTTTGGCTCAAGCCCATTTGGCCTCTGGCGATCTGGGCCTGCGACCCGATCGATCGGTCAGGGTCGATCGGCGCCTGCCGCCCGATCGATCCCGCCTCGCAGGCCGATCGCGAGGCCGGGCTCAGCGCGCCGCGGATCGGCGATTCGCCGCCGCCGCTGCCGCGCCCTGGCCCTTGGCGGCTGCTGCGCGCCTTCGGCGCGCCCAGGAGGGGCCCGACGCCCGAGCCCGCCTGGCACAGGCGGCAGAGGGAGCGCCGGGCGTCGGCGCGGGCCCTTCTGCGCGTCGTGAGGGCGGCCGACCTCCTCAGCAGCCACCACTCCGCGCAGCAGCACCAGTGCAACCAGCAGAACGTGCTGCAAGACTTCGAGACCAGCGAGATGGCGACCAACACGAAGTCTCACGGCCATCCAGTGGGGGCCAAGCCGTGGCCATGGAGGTCAAGCACACCAGCATCTGGATCCTCGTACCGCCGACACCATGGAGGGCATGGACAGCAGCAGCCACGGCACCAGCCCCAGCACAACCAGCACCACCACACCTCCCACCACGACGAGGATCAACAGCAGCACAACGACGCCCAGTACCAGCAACAGTATAAGTACGACTACACGACACCGAGAACGAAGCGGCACCCCTCGAGAAGACGCCACCAAGCCCCCGAAGACTCCACAAACGACCACCGACAGTTGCCAAAGCTGACGAAACGACAGTTGGAGGTCACAGAAAAGGTAATGCCCGCCTTGCTTTCGGATGCCAAGGGACACGAAAGCTTTTCTCTTCCTCCCGACGAGCCAGACATACGTAGGGTTTGGCACGCCACTAAGGTGGCGCGGATGGCACGTCTCGCCGACCAAGTCCACGGAGCCAGGCAAGCCCAAGTCGACCCGACCCGCTTGATCGAGGAGCTAGCCATAGTCAAGACCATGATACACATGCTGGACACGCCGACGGCTCGCATTTCACAATACAGATCCCAAGTGGAGTCACGGATCCAGAGACAGCAGACCGTCGAGAGCCAGCTCAAAGACCTCAATAAGGAGCACGACGAAATCAAGGGCGAGATTGCATCCCTCAAGGCACTCATCTCCGAGGCCAAGCAGTATCGAGAACACGCCGAACTTTACGAAGACAGTTGTGACGGGGACGGTGAAGATGATGGGAGACAACGTGTCAGGGGCAAGACACCACACCCCGAGAGACGACAGCGGACACCAATTCGACAACCGGTGCACGAGCCAGCGCCTGCTTCGACCACCAACGACAACAGCGACCTGCGGAAACTCATTGACGTGCTGACGAGGAGAGTGGATGAGCAGCAGCGCAACCACGGAATACATCAACATCATCTGGCGTTTCTCCACCATGAACGAGCCGAATCCGATCAACACGAAGCACAACGTCAACTGCAGACCGAGCAGATCCACGAGCTCTCGCAACATCTACAACATTGCCAGGAACAATTCCAGCAAGCACAACTCCAACAGAGACAGTCGTACTACGACGAGATCCAAGTCTTCCGACAGCGCGAAGAGCAGCTCCGACAAGAGGCTCGCGAATCCATCACGGAGAACGTCGCTCACTACCAGCAGAAGGAGGCCTACCTGCGCTACCAGCTCAAGGAGGAAGAGTCAGCGCACCTCGCCACCTTCATCATTCAGAGGAAGCAAGAGGAAGAGACCTTCAGACATCAGCTACACGAGAACGCCGAGATCATGGTCCAACAATATCAACAACGCTGCCACGAACAACAGCAACGTCTTCTTTCCGAGAAAGCCCAGGCACAGCAGGACATCAGCAACATCGCGAGGCTTGAACAGAACCAGCTTCAGGACGCCAAGGAACTACTTTTGGAGGAGTTCGGACAGTTTCAGGCTCAGAAGTACCGAACCTTGACAGCCCAGAGCGAGTACAACAGCGAGATCGACAGGCTTCGAGGCACTTCTCGCGACATGCAGCGCTTCGAGAACGAACTCCAGGAGCAGCACCAACACCAACTACAGGAGCATCTTCAGCAACACAGACAGGAACGCGAGCGACTGCACTGCGAACTACAGCAGGCCCACGAGTTCGGCACCAGCCTCGACGTGGACATCCTCAGGGAGCTCGACACACAACTTCAAGAACGAGACGAGGAAGACGCACGACTGCAAGCCCAAGCAGATGCTGAACAAGCACAAATCGACAAACAGGTACAAGCCGCACTCCACCTGCTGACCCCACCGTCTTCCTCTGATGACTCGGGCTATCAACTATACCTCAGAAACCGCGGCAGCAGCAGCGGAGGACAGCCCAGCAACAGAGGACAGCGCAGCAGCACACCACCACCACGACCGACACCTGCGATGCCAACCGCCACTCCCACTGCGCGACGCCCATGCCACGACGCCGACGACGCCAGCGTGCACACCCCAATCCCAGCCGACGACGACGACCTGTGCAGCCCAACCCCTGTTGCAAGTGACGCATATCCCTTCCCTGTCCCTACGCCATTACCCACCCCCGCCTCGCTCACGCCGATCCCCACTGAGCAGCATACGCCCATCAACTTCCACCCACCTGACCCGCCAAATGACCGACCCAGCTCAGCGCCACCACCACGCACCAGAAGAACAGACTCAACTCAGCACAACCACCCATCCACTACTCTCCTCATTGACATCACTTCCGACGACGACGTACCACCACCTTCCACCCCAGTGCGCATTCCACTAGCCGACATATCTCCTACCGCACCGATGCAGCCAATCCAACCACCACCTCGCTTCCACCTCGCCACGCCCGACCGCGCCACATCCGCTCCTCCGCCCCGCACAGCTCTCCGAAAAAACGGATCATCTAGACGAGCGGCCAAGCCCAAGAAAGTCCGTATCTGCGACATCGGAGACGGCTTCGCAGATCCAGGAGACCGAGTGCCAACCTTCCTCAACGACGAGGAAGCCCCTGCGGTCAACTCACCAAAAAACTAACGAGGCCCTCACCCCCTGGGGGGCAACTGGCCCAGGGGGAGCGGCCCAGCATCATACCAGAAGACTGCCTGTGCAACGACGGCACTTCCGACTCCTGCAGTGGTTACGCCGACGACGTCAGGCGCCGACTATTCGAGCCCCTGGTGAGCTCCGATCCACCATACGACACTTCACAAGTTTCACCTACCCTCTCATCAGCCAATGGCGGCATGCGCGTTGGGGAGAGCGCACCTCCAGATTCTTACGAGCATGGCGATATGTGGGAAATCCACACACCGCCCAACATGCGACAGCCTAGTAGTGGACCGTGGACCATCCCCTCGGCCTCTACCTCTCGCTTGGGGAGTGCGAGAAGGCTGTCTCACACAGATCACACAGAAATGCCCCGCCAGATTTTGCTTCCCACAAACCCCGCACCAACTACGCTAGCGGACCGACCAACTACCGTCACCCGACCTCGACGGCAGCATGTCGACTCACATCCTCCACCAGCGGAAGCCCAGTCACGGTCGCTCCCGACGATGACGACGCCACCGCCTACGCCTCGAGAGGAAGCATCGCTTTGTGAGCACGACACGGGGGGGGACACCCCCAGTGGCTGCAGCCGTTTGGGGCAAGAACGACAAGAACCACCAACAAGGCATCGACGTACTAGCCATTTTGGCCATGATGGCGATCGAGACCGACAATTTTGTGATTCACCGAGCCGGCCATGTACATCAACTTCTTGCCGGCCACCACCTCCCATTTTTGACTCCCCTGACGCTACCCAGATCCCACACGGACAAACAGACCTGCCGAATGCGGAGAGCCACGAGGAAGTACGGCATGTTCGTTTCTCCCGCGAGGTTCACACCCGCGACCAGCAGACCGACAATATCCTCTACCACATCGACTTCGACGAACAGGAGCCCTTACTCCAGCACCTTCGACGACTTCAGCCTCCCAGGCTTACCTTCGACTTTACCGACCGTTGCCACAACGAGGTTTCAGAGTACATGGTGCGAACATTTCCATACCGACAGCTCCCACGAGATTCTCGCCTGCATTTATACACAGACGGCTCCAAACATCCACGCCAACATGGTCAAGACGGATGGTCAGTCGTACTCGTCGGAGAAGACGAAGAAGGTTTCTCTTTTCAAGGCGCAATAGTCGGCAAGCACCGCGACTCCACCCTCATAGAGATCCAAAACCTCACGGACAACGAGACCACCTCGACATCCAGCGAGATCAC